GCCTGGGTCTCATAGGAAACCCAGCAAGGCTCAAACCCGAGTAATGCAGAGTATGCGTGGCAAAGCAGAGGTTAGAGTCCCGCTGAGGGTGCTGATTAGACCTAAGCAGGGTCGAAACTGCAATCCAGCCAGAATGAGATTACTTTTTGTTAAGCAAGGCTAAATAAATTCTATGGAAACCTGAGTCCTATTCATTTAACTATTAGTTGTCACTTTTGTCACAGCATGCGAACTATAATAACTGCAACTCCTATAAAAGGACCTCTACTATCAAATTAAATGTTTCCACTTACCTTTTTAATACTCATTATTGGCGTGTATCATTCAATTTTATGTGTTACAAAGGCTAATTTTTATGAAGTTTTATTCTTTTAAGATATAAAACAAAGAAAATGTGGCCTCTAGTACGGCCGTAGACGGCTCTTCGGAATTGGTTTAACCTCATTTTACAAAGGGATTTGACTCGATTTGTCTCTTTTATGAGCTTTATAAAGGCGTCATAATGACGAAACCAACGTCGTCAAAACGTCTGCGTACCGAGTTACCAGTTTTTAAAAGTAAAGTGGTAGCAAGGTCAGAATATAACTTTTGATGTACGTTCATAGAAACCTCGAAAACACGAATAAGCTGAAAAAATGGGTTCAAAGCAAGTCTGCTCCTTCTGATCATATTCTGCCTAGAGAGTTAAAAATCTTCTACAATAAAAAACCCGCAAAGATGAAATACGTAATCCCATAATGAGACAGAAAAGATCAACATCCTTCTAGCCTAAAGGATGGGAAAGATATCTCCTACGAGTTCGTGGTTTTAGCGACGCATTCAGAAAATTTTAATGAATATTTATCAATCAAACGAGGAACTTTACTAAGTGCTTAGTGTCAAATGCATTAAAGGGACCTTTCATGTGAGCATGACTAGCATCAAGCCGACCCACTTTAATGGCCAATCGAAGCTCTTCTTGCACGCTCAGGTTGGAAAGGTTGAGATTCAACATAAAGCTGTGCAACTGTTGCAAGGGCTGCGGGTCGTCTGAGCTGACTCTGCCGAGGCTGGCCACAGCCTGATTGCCACTGAAAATCATTTGTGTGATTTCGACGCAGCCGAACAGAGATGCCAGAGAATTGTCCAAATTGTGGTCGTTTTTGTTTCGGCCGCGCCTATTACTTCTTCTGCTGACCTCTGGCACCGGAACAATTGGCTCAGCCCAGCTCGTGTGACAACCAAGGACGCTAGTTGTAGAGGTAGGCGTACTGGAATCTAGACAATTGGAGTGTAAATGAGAAAGTGATTGAAACTTTCCTTTAAGAAATTATTCGAAGCGTCCTCAACATGTAGTCGAATAAGGAGACCTTGCCCAACATATAGCAAGTAATCTGCAAAGCCAACCTGACGTCTTTATCTGGTTACTTGTGCAATCACTTCCCCTGAATTTTAGCTCCGTAATGGATAGTAAGCAATTATTACACATTTATCAGAGCCACAAACTATAGCATTCACGCTTCAGTTAGCATTAATTCAAGGTTCCCTTAATCATTTAGGCTCTCTGACAAGTGAGTTTCTGTAGTGAACATTCCAACATCATTCCAACAGTTGCCATGACGTATTAATTGATAGTTTAGGATGCA